ATCCCTAGTTGCCCCTTGAGAAGGTGGTGATGAGCTGCCTTTTTCAACAACTGCAGTCCATGTGCTGTAGGTTGACCCACATTGCTATTAGGGAGGGAATTCCAGGATTTAGATCCAGCAACAACGAAGGAATGGCAATACATTTACAAGTCAGGATGGTGAGTGGCTTGGAGGGGGACTTGCAGTTGGTGACGTTCCCGTTTATCTAATGCCCTTGTCCTTCTGGGTGGAAGGGGCCGTGGTTTTGGAAGATGCTGTCTGAGGATCTTTGGTGAATTTCTGCAGTGCATCTTGTAGATAGTACACACTGCTGCTACTGAGCATCGGTGGTGGAGGGAGTGAATGCTTGTGGATGTAGTGCCAATCAAGTGAGCTGCTTTGTTCTGGATGGTGTCAAGGTCCTTGAGTGTTGTTGGGGCTGCACTCATCCAGGCAAGTGGGGAGTATTCTATCACTGTCCTGACTTGTGCCTTGCAGATGATGGATAAGCTTAGGGGAGTTAGGATATAAGTTACTTTCTGCATTATTTCTAGCCGCTGGCTTGGTCTTGTAGCCACTATGTTTATATGGTGAGTTTCTAATCAATGGTAACCCCAGGATGTTGATAGTGGGGGATTCAGTTTTTCACCATGTTAGGGAGACACATCATCAGGACATGAATCCAGATTTGAGACACTGTAGTCAAAATGAGAATGGGGTTTTATAAATGAAGAAAGGTCTGGGTCTTACCTTGTAAGCGTAGCCGTGAGGCCTTCCCTTCCATTGTAAAGTAGCCAGCCAGTATTCAATTCTAAGGCTCTCAGATAATGAATGGCAAGGTGCCTGATGATGCTGTCAGCAAGCCTGGGATAACACTGTCAGAGCAAGAAGAAGAAAACGTTGGAAAGATAGAAATAAGATAAGAGGTGAATCAACATGTACTTACAGAAGGTGAGGCAGATAACTAACATAACAGTGATAGGGGATAAATGTGTACAGTCTCATTATGGTGATAGAGTGAAGCAGTAGATGGCTACTGAAACCAGTCCCAGAGTCTGAAAGGACAGTGTCTGACCCACTGTCCCAGTCAGTCCCAGAGTGTGAAAGGACAGTGTCTGACCCACTGTCCCAGCCAGTCCCAGAGTGTGAAAGGACAGTGTCTGACCCACTGTCCCAGTCAGTCCCAGAGTGTGAAAGGACAGTGTCCGACCCACTGTCCCAGCCAGTCCCAGAGTGTGAAAGGACAGTGTCTGACCCACTTTCCCATGCTGCCATACTTAGCAGGGCTACCCGTGTTGTTTTGCTGAAACACTTGGACCTCTGACTGTGTCACAGCCTATGTGTCTGTGTCAATTTTCAAAAATCTATGTAAATAATTCCACACCCCATATTTCTTACAATAATCCTGCAAACTATTCCAGTTCAAATAAATTTCCAATTGCCTTTTTTAAGTTGGTGTTGCATCTGCTACCTCCACCCTTTCAGGGAGTGCAATCCAGATCTAAATAACTTTTGGCATTAAAATGTTCCTCCCCTCTTTTGTTGTTCTCTTGCTAATTATGTTCAGTCTAAGACCTTTGGTTATTGCCCTACTGCCACAAGAAACATTATCTTTTTTTTTTGCATTAAGGTTTCCCTTCATCCTAGTTTCTCTATTCTCTGTACATAAATGAGGTCCTTTATTCCTGTTCTTATGCTGGTAACCTCTCTCTCTATCCTCTCTAAGGCCATTATATCCTTCCTTAAATAGGACTTGTATACAATGCTGCAGCTGAGGGCTACACATTGGGTTTCTTAACCATCTTCTCACATCCAGGCCACCTACGATGATTTGTGAACAAGTGTCCCTAAGTCCCTCTTCTTCTGCTCCCACCTGAAGATAGCACCATTTAGATTACTCTGTATTATAGTTTTGACCCTCATGTTGTGCATCACCTCTCCGCTATGTTCTTGCCTGTTTCACCTTGCCTATGGCTCCCTGAAGTCTGTTACTGTCCTCTGTATTGTTCAATACATTACTGAATTTTGCACCATTTGCAAACCTCGAAATTAGGTCATCTACACCTAACTTTGTGTCAATTAATAACCGACAATTAATATTTATCAAAAAAGACCGTTGGTCTTTGTACTGTTCCTGAGGATCCTGCTGCATATTTCTCTCCAGTTTGCATTCATTCACCACTACTATCTGCCTCCTGTCTCTTAGAGAAAGACTTGCTTTCATTATGACCATTTCTTTAAAACGCTGCAGTTTTCCAAATAGCTCTGTAAATCAGCAGCTTATTTGCTGCTTTTCATATTCCATATTTGCATCTACTGCATTGCCATCATTAAAGACCTAAATTTGTCACACATTAATCTTTTCGTGAATCCCTGCTGAGTTTCTCGAGGTGAGAATCAACTTTGTCTTTGCCAACGGCGTCTTGTAGTTTTCCTACCATTATAGTAAAAGTGATTGGCCTGTAATTGCTCGGATTTTATTTTTATTTGTGGATATTGCTGGTGTGATCATTATTTGTTACCTATTGTGAATTGCCCTGATTGTAGCTTTGATGCAACTCAGTTAGTTGCAAGGCCATTTCAAAGGTCAGCAAAAATCAACTATGTTGCTGAGTGTCTGGAGTAATGACTAGACTAGACTAAGTAGAGAAAACAGATTTCCTTCCCAAATGGAACCTGATGGGATTTTTTTCATCAGTTTAGTTTCATTTTTAATTTTTAAAAATTTAATTAATTGAATTTTAATTTTGAAATTGATGTGGTATGTGCTATCTCAACCCTTTCAGGTAGTGCATTCCAGATCTTAATAACACTTGACAGTAAAGTGTTTCTCCACGTTTTTGATGCCATTCTCCTGCTAATTATTGTCAATCTAAGACCTCTGGTTATTATCCGATTTGGCACAAGAAACATTATCTTTTTAATTGCTTGATCAAAGAGACTCACATAATTTCGAATACTCCATTCAGGTTTCCCTTAATCCTCCGCTGATTTAAGGAAAACAATCCTAGCTTCTCTAATCTCTGCACATAAATAAATAAATAGACACATAGGTATTTTTTTTCATTTTTAATCAATTTTAATTTCCTGTTTACCATTACTGATACAATTTTTTTTCTACTTTTATTTATTAACTGAATTTAAATTCTTCATTATGTCTTGTCTCTCTGAATCATTCATCCAGTACTCTGGATTGCTGGGGTGAGATGTTTGCATTGCCCCAGTCCTTCAGCACTATTGCCAAATCCAAGGAGGCTTGTATTCAGAGTTGTGTCCTTCAGCAGCCTAAAATGCATTCAATCTGGACTGGGTGACAAATCGACCTAGAGAGATGCCAAACTATTTAGCATTTATTTCCTATCTATTTTTATCCTAATTAATATCTGTACTCCCTCATCCTTTTCTGCAAAATTCACATTTACCATTTTCTTTTGTGAAAGCAGATGCAAAATATAGTAATCATTCAGTCGTGCCTTCTGCCACTATACAGATACTTTCTTCTATGTTCCCAATGAGCCCTACTATTCCTTTAACTATCCTTTCTAAAAAAAAATGGATTCCATTTTATATTATCCACTAATCTTTCTTTTGTATTTTGTCTTTGCACTGTTCTACATGTCTCACCTTACACTCCATATTTTAGCAAGTTTTCTATTTTATTCTGTACTCCTTTTTTGGCATAATTTAAACCTGAATATATTATGATCAGTATTGCCCAGATTTTCCCTCAGTGAAGCATATTCCATTTGCCCTGCTTCATTCCTCAAAACTGATGTATTTTCCTCATTGGGCCAGAAGCATGCTGGTTAAGAAAGTTGTGTTAGACCCATTTGAAGAGCTATTCATCCTTCTTGTCCTTTACAATTTTTTTCTCCTCATACAGTTCGGATAATTTACATCCTCCATCATTACTCCTCTATTATTTGTTAAATTCCTGTCACATTTACCTTTAGATTTTCCCTTTTATCTACTCAGTATTTGCAAATTTGGAGTAAATACTTAGTGATTTATCAGCTCCTTTACTGTTCCTTTACTTCAACCAATAAATTCTACTTTTGAATATTTTGGTGTACCAACTTTCAGTTGAACTGTAATATTGTCCTTGAGGTATGGTGAATCAGCGGTTAGCACTGCTATCTTACAGCACCAGGGACCTGGGTTTGATTCCACCCTTGGGCGACTTTATACGCGGAGTTTGCACGTTCTTCCTGTGTCTGTGTGGGTTCCCTCCCACAGTCCAAAGATGTGCAGGTTAAGTGGATTGGCCATGGGAAATGGAGTGTTGTGGGGATGGGTCGGGGTGGGATGCTCTGTGAAGGGTAAAGTGTGGACTTGATGGGCCTAATGGCCTGCTTCCACACTGTAGGGATTCTATGATTAATAACTGGAAACCTCTTCCTTTATTTGTTCCTTATCCCTCCAGATTTGCTCCTATCATTCTACACGTTTAAACTATGTCTCTGTTTATCCATGTGATCGTAACCCCACATGACAATTTACACCTGTAACTCATTGGCTTTGCTGATAACATTAATAAACTTACATTTCAACACTTTGTCATATATGCCTTTCATCTAATGTTGGGACTTTGTGCACTGTTCTTTCTCCTGAAACTTCTTGTTCCTGCTAGTTTTCTAAGTTGCTTCTTTTTCCTCTCTGGTGCTATGTCATGGCACACCCAACTGAATCATAGAATCGAATTGTTGAATCATACAGTGCAGAAGAGGCCCTTTGGCCCATTGAGTCTGCACTGACATGTGTGAAACACCTGTCCTTCAACCTAATCCCATTTATCAGCACTTGGCCCATAGCCTTGAATCTGGCCCAGCCAAATTCATTTCAACCCACCACTACATATTAATGAACTCTCTTCACTGAGGACATTGGTCCTGGTCTTAGTAAGATACCTTGTCAAGCTTTACAACACCTTCTATATGTGCCAGAACTGATCTCAGTGCCAATAATCTTCCTGTTTCATTACTTTCCATTGACTCTCTTGCCTTTCCTGTCCTTCTCTTCAGGGAAATACTCCGAGCAAGGCGAGGACAGATCAGCCCAGCCTCTCTGTGGAGAGCCTCCTGGAAACAAGATGGCCGGTGCCTCGGTGAAGGTGGCGGTGAGAGTCCGGCCTTTCAACTCCAGGGAGATCAGCCGAGAGAGCAAATGCATTATTCAGATGTCAGGGAATACAACAAGTGAGTATTTATTTCCACACTGTACTGTTCAGTCTGCCCTGCCTGCTACAGCCTGAGAGGACTCAGAGCCAATCGAAGGACAAAAGCTGATTATGCAACCTGAAAGGCACCAGAGCCAGGAATATCAATAACTGCTTAGCATGGCTGAGCACTCAGCATTGTTCTGTTATTCAATGTTATCAGGGTGTTCTCCAATGGCCACTAAAAAAATTTTGTGTGTCTGTAAATTACCATGAATGTGAAATGGACATTTCATTGACCACAATCAGTGGGACTTCCTATCTTGCCTGTTTAGATTAATCCCGATAGGGCCTAATGATTGGTTCGGAAGAACTCTGCCTTATGCAGTGTTTACAATGAATAGCTGTGTTTTTCTTTGTACAAAGGGGAAATAAGGGCTGCTGTGGCACTGTGGTAATGTCCTATTTCTGAGCCAGGAGTCCAAGGTTCGAGACCCACCTGCAACAGGGGTATGGAATAATGTCTCTGAACAGGTTGATTAGAAAATATCCAAAGGGGAGATGCCATACTCTGTGGACATGATAGCAAATCATAGCCACCATCCTAACTAAGGAGCTGCCAACCAAGAAGATAACAGCATTAATGGGAAGAAAGTTATGTTGGGGGGTGGGGATTGCTGTAGTCCACCTCTATGACTCAATGGAACAAAGACAGTGTCCACTGAGTCCTGCTGGGCACTGCAGGATTGTGAATGCTGAATGTAGTAATGATGTAGCAGTAATTGAGTAAACTCTGCTGTAAGGACTATGTGGGCAGATCTCAGCAAGAGTTACCAGTTCCAGCAGAGGAGAAAAGGAGAATTGGAAGGGGATAAATAAGACGGAGATAATGAGTTTGTGTTGAACAAAGGGCACTCTCCCTCGATTTTACTGTGGTGAGGGTTCATTAAGGTGAAAAGTAGAGATGGCAATTTAAAGTTCTGATCTAGGCCAATGGAGCAATTAGTATGATTGACCATTTTATATTTGCTTTCAGCATGAAAAGCTTTAGCCAACTAACTTCTCTGTTTATTAATCGGAACGTTTGAGTCTTGTTGGGTGGAAGATAAGTATGGCATGGACCAAATTGGAATTGTAGTCAAAGAAGCAATATTCTGGCAAACCTTTTTATCTTGCTGGTTGCCTGTTTTTTAAGACTTCTTCAGGTTAAGGTGAATTATGCCTTTTCATTATCCTACGATAACAAATGAACTACAAGTGGATGTTAGATTCTGATTCAGCCTGTGCACAGTTAGTGCTGGGCTCAGCAAACTACACAGAATATATTGCAGTGATGTGACCTGACCCTGGACGTCCTCACTGATTGAACCATTGCTACCCTCTGATCCTATAACATGTTCTCAGTTTAAAACTGCTTCTGTCCTCAACACTTCTGTACTTGTATGTCTGACTGGTGTGATTTACATTACCAGATCTGCCTGAGATGTCTTCCGTAAAGAAATTCACTGGGAATATCTTCAGGATTTCTTTCCCCTTTCTCTTATAAATTTACCAGCGCAACATTTCTGCAAATTTTTCCTTGAGGAACTTACTTTAGTCGACAATCCACACCTCTAGTGAGATTGGCAAATCCAGGGTGCCATGTTTTGAACTTAACGCAGAAAGTGCTAGAGAAACTCAGCAGGCTTGGCAGCTTCTGTGAAGAGAGAAACAGAGCTAACGTTTTAAGTTTGGTATCATTCTTCATCAGAACGACCAAATTGTGGCTCTGTCTCTCTCATGCGTACTCCCATTAAACATGAATTTGTGAGTGGAATCAAGGGATTGGGGAATTAGCACTGAGGTGAAAACCTGACTAAAGCTTGGGATATGTGGGTGGAAGCCAGTGGTGGGCTCTGGAAGTGTCATCACAGCCTACGTTATTTGTCTCTAGTGGACCTTTGCTCATAGAATGTCTGTAGTGACAGGTCAATCAGACTGAGTTAGTTAATAATCAGTTTTTACTGTCTTGCTAAAGTTCATGCATTGTTTAGCTGTTTCTTGCAAAGTGTGTGTTCATTGGCAAAGCCAGTGCGTTTTGGCCATCCCTAAAATAGGAGGCAATGAGAATCATGGAAAAAGCTCCCTGCTGTTTGGAGCCATGCCTAGCACAAAGGTTGTGGTTGTTGGATGTCAGTCATCTCATCTGTAGGGAATTATTGATGGAGGTCGTCAGGGAAAAGTCTCAGGCTCAACCACCTTCAGCTAATTCGTCAATGACCGCTGTCAGTCAGAAGTGCGGATGCTCATAGATACACAATATTTTGCACCATCCATGACTCCTCAGATGCTGAGATGAACCATGTCCAAATGCAGGAAGACCTGGACAATATCCAAGTTTGGGCTGACAAGTATTATGTAAAATTTGCACCACGCATGTGCCAAGTAGTGACCATCTCCAATACAAGTGGATCTAACCATCACCCCTTGCATTCACTGGCATTACCATCACTGAATCTGCCCCTAACAACATCTTTGGCTTACCACTGAACAGAAAATGAACTGGACTAGCTATATCATTAGTGTGGCTACAAGAATAAGTTTTGACCTTCCTTTGCAGGCAAGAAACTCCTCTCTATCCAATGTCTGTCCTCCGTGTACAAGGCATAAGTCAGGAGCATTATTGAATCCTAAAATAAAGCCAGAGAACTGAGCATGCTGGAAATCAGAAACAAAAACAGAAATTGGTGGAGAAACTCAGCAGATCCGGCAGCATCTGTGGAGAGAAAGCAGAGTCAACGTTTCAGGTCCAGTGGCTCTTCTTTAGAACTGGTAGTAGCTAGGAAAAGATGTCATATATGCTGAAGCCAGAGGGTAGGGGGATTAGGGAATGAGAGGATAGATGAAGAGCCCAGAGAAAGAGAAGGAATGTTGGGCAAATGAAGGGATGCCAGGAAGGAGAAAAGCTGATAATGGGGGCCATAAGGAGGTGAAAATAGATTGGCAGTGGTGACAGTAGCCCATGTGATGACAAGGCCTGGGATGTGGCATGGGAGTGAGTAAAGGAATTATAGAATACTCTCCACTTGCCTGGATGAGTGCAGCTCCAATAACACTCAAAAAGCTTGACACCACTGAAGACAAAGTGGCTTGTTTGATCAACACTTCATCCGTCACCTTCAACTTTCACTCCTTTCATCACTGATGCTCAGTGGTAGCCATGTGTACCATGTACAAGGTGTATCGCAGTATCTCACTCAAGCTTCTTCAGCTGCATCTTCCAAACCTCTAGGGTGTAGAAGGACCAGGACAGCAGGTATCTTAACATATGAACATATGAACAATGAACCATGAACAAGGATAACAAGCACGGAATGCTGGAGAAACTGTACAATTCTGGAAGCATCACTGGAGAGAGGAAACAGCCAACATTTTGAGTTTGGTATGACTCTTCCTCAGAAGGTACAAGAGTAAAAGGTACAAGTAAGTGTCACTCATTCCTTCAAGCCTGCTCCCCCTTTGAATAAGACCATGACTGGATCTGATTTTAACCTCAGCTATATATTCCTGCATATCCCTGACAATTTTTCATCCCCTCGGTAATCGAGAAACTATGAACTCTGCCTTTAAAAAATAAAGATTCTGCATCACTGCCTTTAGAGAAAGGGAACTCTCACTCTTGGAAAGGATTTTGTTTTTCCTCATCCCTGTCTTAAATGGGTGCCCCCTTTATATTTAAACAATGACCCTAGTTCTAGATTCTCTCACAAGAGGAAACATCCTTTCCACATCAACCTGGTTAAGTCCCCTCAGGATCTTGCGTGTTTCAATTATATAACCTCTGGCTTTTCTAAACTGCAGAAGATTCAGGCCTAGCCTGTCTAATCTTTCCTCATAAAGCAATCTGCTCATTCCATGCCAGTCCCTGAACTGCTTCCAATGCATTAACATCTTTCTCTAAGTGTAGTGACGCTATACAAAGTACTCGAGATGCAGTTCCACTGAAGCCCTATACTGTATAACCAAAGCATAATCTTCCTGCTCCTGCATTACATTCCCCTTGCAATAAAACAAACATGCCATTTAGATAGTATGCTTCTTTCTATTCTTTTTATCAAAATAGACAATATGACACTTTCCTGCATTGAACTCCAATTGCAAGATCTTTGCCCATTCACTTAACCTGTGGTCTCTCTGCAGGCTCCTTCTGTCATTTTCACAGCTCACTTTCCTACCTACCTTTGTGTCATTAGCAACTTTAGCTGGCAGACCTTTGTTCCCTTCATCCAAATATTTTCTATAAATTATAAGGAGTTGAAGCTCCAGCACTGACCCATGTGGTACAGCACCCATGACATCCTGGCAGCCTGACAAAGACCCATTTATTCCTGCTCTGTGCTTCCTGTTAGCCAACCAATCTCTCATCCATGCCAGGATGTTATCCGTAACACCAGGAACTTTTATTTTCCTCAGTTACCTTTGATGTGGAACCCTGTCAAATGTTCTTTGGAAATCCACGTACAGTCTATCCACTGGTTCTCCTTTATCCACAGCACAGGTTACTTCTTCAAAGTACTAAACATGATTTAAACATGATTTCCCTTTGAAAAAATCACGCTGACTCTGCCTGATTACCTTGAACGAAGCCAAGTGCTTTGTTATAATGTATTTAATAGTAGCTACTAACATTTTCTTTCTAACGGATGTTAAGCTAGCTGGCTGGAGTTTCCTGCTTTCTGCCTCCCTCCTTTATTGAATAAAGGAATTGCATTCACTCTTTTCCAATCTAAAGGAACGTTCACTGAATTGAATGAGTTTTAGAAAATTAAAAACAATGCTATCTCACTAGCTACTTTATTTAAGACCCTAGGATGAAGCCCATCAGGACCCAAGGACTTATCAACTCACAGCTCCAATAATTTACTCAGTGCTACTTCCCTGGGAACTGTAATTTTCTTGAGATTGCCTCTCCCTTTCAATTCCCGATTTACAGCTATTTCTGGGATGTTACTTGCATCCTCTCCAATGAAGCGTGGGCAAAATACCTGTTCAATTTGGCTA